AAGACGATGATTTAACCCTTTGAAGACGACGATTTAACCCTTTGAAGACGACGATTTAACCCTTTGAGGACGATGATTTAACCCTTTGAGGACGATGATTTAACCCTTTGAGGACGATGATTTAACCCTTTGAGGACGATGATTTAACCCTTTTGGGACGATGATTTAACCCTTTGAGGACGATGATTTAACCCTTTGAGGACGATGATTTAACCCTTTGGGGACGATGATTTAATGATTTAACCCTTTGGGGACGATGATTTAACCCTTTGAGGACGATGATTTAACCCTTTGAGGACGATGATTTAACCCTTTGGGGACGATGATTTAACCCTTTGACGACGATGATTTAACCCTTTGAAGACGATGATTTAATCCTTTGATTTAACCCTTTGAGGACGATGATTTAACCCCCTTTTAGGACGATGATTTAACCCTTTGAAGACGATGATTTAACCCTTTGAAGACGATGATTTAACCCTTTGAGGACGATGATTTAACCCTTTGAGGACGATGATTTAACCCTTTGAGGACGATGATTTAACCTTTTCGAGGACGATAATTTAACCCTTTGAGGACGATGATTTAACCTTTTCGAGGACGATAATTTAACCCTTTGAGGCCGATGATTTAACCCTTTGAGGACGATGATTTAACCCGTTGAGGACGAAGATTTAACCCTTTGAGGACGATGATTTAATCTTTTCGAGGACGATAATTTAACCCTTTGAGGACGATGATTTAACCTTTTCGAGGACGATAATTTAACCCTTTGAGGACGATGATTTAACCCTTTGAGGACAATTATTTTACCCTTTGTGGACTGACTTAACCCTTTGAGGACAATTATTTAACCCTTTGAGGACTGATTTAACCCTTTGAGGACGATGATGATTTAACTCACCAGATGTCCTCCCTCTCCTCCACCACAGTAAACACTTCCACTCACTCTCCCTCCCTCCACTTCCCTCCCTCCACTTCCCTCCCTCCACTTCCCTCCAACACCCATAATCCCTCACCACATTTTTCTCCTAGTATCAATCCGTCCACCATTTCCTCTCTGAGTATCCCATTTAACTCTTAATTCATAACGTGCTCACTCTTCCGTCCTTTCCCGGCTCCCTTCCCATAGACTCTTACCCTTCGCACCTCCTCTCCCACATGTGAACTCTTTCCAGCTCCCCTTCCAGACAGACACCCTTCCTAGCTCTCCCCTCCCACCCACATATTCACCTTTTATAGTTCACACACACACACACACACACCACACACACACACTTCCTTCCCACACACACACACACACACCCTTCCTTCACACACGCACCGTTCCCTTCCACCCACACACACACGCACCCTTCCTTCACCAACACACACACACACACACACACACACACACACACACACACACACACACACACACCTCCTTCACCCACACACACGCACCTTCTTCACCCACACACACCGGACCCGTCCTCCACCCACACACACACACACACGGACCCTTCCTCCACCCACACACACACGCACCCTTTCTTCACCCACACACATACACGCACCCTTCCTTCACACACGCGCACCCTTCACACACACACACACACACACACACACACTTCCTTCACCCACACACACACACACCACACACACACACACACACCACACCCTTCCACCCACACACACACACATACGCACCCTTCCTTCCACCACACACACACGCACCCTTCCTTCACCCACACACACACGCACTCTCCTTCACCCCCACACACAGGCACCCCTTCCTTCACCCACACACAACACGCACCTCTCTCCACCCACCCACACCTCCACACACACGCACCCTTCCTTCACCCACACACACACGCACTCTTTCACCCCCACACACACAGGCACCCTTCCTTCACCCACACACAAACACGCACCCTTTCCTCCACCCACCCACACACACAAACACGCACTCCTCCACTCCCACCCACCCACACAAACACGCACCTTCCTCCACCCACCACGCACACCCTTCCTCCACCCACCACCACACACACACACGCACCCTTCTCCACCCACACACACACGCACCCTTCCTCCACCCTCACCCTTCCTTCACACACACACACACCTCACCTCTTTCTCCACATTTCCACACACACTTACACACCACACACCCACACCCCTTCCTCCACCTTCCCTGAAATTCATCTTACCTCATTTCCTTCTTGTTTCTCATGTGTGTGTGTGTGTGTGTGTGTGTGTGTGTGTGTGTGTGTGTGTGTGTGTGTTCTGCGTCTACTGCTTTGCCATACTTGACTTGCCAGATTTTAGAGCAACAGAGCCAGACTTTTAGAGTAACAGATCCATATTTAGAGTAACAGAGCCAGAAATATAACGTAAATACTCCATAACATAATAACTTTTAATAATGTTGACATATTGTGTTATAATATTTTACTATAGTTTACCTCATTTAGCATAATGTTATTAGTCTCTATTAGCACATAAAGTTTGATTAATTGTTGTATATATGTGACGTCATGTGATGGATGATGACAGAGGATGACGTCATGTTGTGATAGATGACAGAGGATGACGTCATGTTGTGATAGATGACAGAGGATGTGACGTCATGTTGTGATAGATGACAGAGGATGACGTCATGTTGTGATAGATGACAGAGGATGTGGACGTCATGTTGTGATAGATGACAGAGGATGTGACGTCATGTTGTGATAGATGACAGAGGATGTGACGTCATGTTGTGATAGATGACAGAGGATGTGACGTCATGTTGTGATAGATGACAGAGGATGTGTGACGTCATGTTGTGATAGATGACAGAGGATGTGTGACGTCATGTTGTGATAGATGACAGAGGATGTGACGTCATGTTGTGATGGATGACAGAGAGTGTGACGTCAGGGCGGGGAGGAGATATTTCACCAGCACTGCCCCCAACACGGCGCCGAGTCCCTGTGAACTTAACCACACATAACCTCCTCGTTAACGCCGCCGCCTCTACATCTTCTCACGACCACCACAAGATCAAAACATTTATCTTGTGGGAATCCTTTCACGAGGGAGTAAAGGATTAAGGCTGATTAACGACATGAGAAATCTCGTCAAATCCAAAATCTCCGACAATTTCTTTGATTGGAAATAAGATCATCAGGTTAGATTGTTGAGATAAATCCTTGAGGGTTTTACTTGTGTTTATTGTTATTAATTTTTTCTACAATTACTTGAAGCAAAGAAAATTATAAAAGTAAGTTGGTCTTGACGGAGGACACACTTCTCTTATTTACCGGAAAATGGGGAAGGGTGATAGTGGTGGAGGATGGGTGATAGTGGTGGAGGATGGGTGATAGTGGTGGAGGATGGGTGATAGTGGTGGAGGAGGTGGATGGTGGAGGATGGGAAATAGTGGTGGAGGGAGGGATGGTGGAGGATGGGTAATAGTGGTGGAGGAGGAGGAGGAGGATGGGTGATAGTGGAGGAGGAGGATGGGTGAGAGTGGAGGAGGAGGATGGGTGATAGTGGTGGAGGAGGTGGATGGTGGAGGATGGGTAATAGTGGTGGAGGAGGAGGATGGGTGATAGTGGTGAGGAGGTGGATGGTGGGAAGGGTGATAGTGGTGGAGGATGGGTGATAGTGGTGGAGGAGGTGGATGGTGAAGGGTGATAGTGGTGGAGGATGGGTGATAGTGGTGGAGGAGGTGGATGGTGGAGGATGGGGTAAGTGGTGGAGGAGGATGATGGGTGATAGTGGTGGAGGAGGTGGAGGATGGGTATAGTGGAGGAGGAGGAAGGGTGATAGTGGTGAGGAGGTGGAGGATGAGTGATAGGTGGAGGAGGTGGATGGTGGAGGATGGGTATAGTGGTGAGGAGGAGGATGGGTGATAGTGGTGGAGGAGGTGGAGGATGGGTGATATGGTGGGGGAGGGGTGATAGTGGTGGAGGAGGTGGATGTGGAGGAGGGTAATAGTGGTGGAGGAGGAGGATGGGTGATAGTGGTGGAGGAGGGAGGATGGGTGATAGTGGTGGGGAGGGGTGATAGTGGTGAGAGGTGATGGTGGAGGATGGGTAATAGGTGGTGGAGGAGAGGATGGGTGAGAGTGGTGAGAGGTGGAGGATGGGTGAAGTGGTGGGGGAGGTGATAGTGATGGAGGAGGTGGAGGATTGTTGATAGTGGTGGAGGAGGGAGGATGGGGATAGTGGTGGAAGGGAGGATGGGTGATAGTGGTGGAGGAGGGGAGGATGGGTGATAGTGGTGGGAAGGGAGGATGGTGATGGTGGTGGAGGAGGGGGGTGACAGGGAGGAGGAGGATGGGTGAGTAGGGAGGAGGAGGGGTGGGTGATAGTGGTGGGGAGGTGGAAGATGGGTGACAGTGGTGGAGGAACAGCCTAAATGGAGGGTAGGGTCGTGGTAGGGTCGGGGGCAGTACTACAGTGGTTAGGCCGGGGTAGGGTCGTGGGGGGTACTACAGTGTTGGGTGAGGGTCGTGGGCAGGGGTCGGGGCAGGGTCGGGGGCACTCACAGTGTTGAGGGGCGTGGGTGTAGGTCGTGTAGGGCCGGGGCAGTACCACAGTGTTGGGTGAGGGTCGTGTAGGGTCAAAGGTACTCACAGTGTTGTAGGGTCGTGGGTGGGCCGTGGGGGCAGTACTCACAGTGTTGGGTAGGGTCGTGGGGCAGTACCAGTGCTGAGTAGGGTCGTGGGGTCCTCTCTCCGCCAGGTGACTACAGGGGCGGCACCCTCGAGCACGACACCTAGGACACGTTAGTTCCTCCCTCACCACCAAGTCTCCTGTCCATGCCGTGTCCTCGATGCCGGGGGGCACTGTGTTGGGGTACAACAATAGATCAGAGAAGGAAGGTCAGAACAGATCAGGTCAGGGCAGGTCCCAGACGTAAGAAAAATAACACAGTATCATAATTTTATATACATCGGCATATCAGAAATGTCTATATCATAATAAGATAAAGAGGGAGAAAATTATTAGAGGTATATCACTCACCTACGACCTGGAGGAAGCCCTTCTGGTTAATCATAGGATCGGTGTTAATCTGACACATGTAGTAGCCGCGGTCTGCCTCAGTCACTTCCTTCAGGTGGAGGCGGTACACTGTCCGTCCTTCATGACTCAGACCCACTCGAGGGTTACGTGTGATGACCGTAGTGTGGATGGTCAGGATGGTCTGTGTCTCCACCTGTACCCACGCCACCTGTAGGAGAGACAGGTAGAGAGACAGGTGGATTATGGTGGCAGAGGGACAGAGAGAGACAGGTGGATATGGTAACAGAGGGACAGAGCAGACAGGTGGATTAGGTGGCAGGACAGGCAGGTGCGGGATGCAGGCAGAGGAGAGACAGGTGGATATGGTAGCAGGGACAGAGAGAGACAGGTGTGGTAGCAGAGGGACAGAGAGAGACAGGTGGAATGGTAACAGAGGGACAGAGGACAGGTGGATATGGTAACAGAGGGAGGTGTATGGTGATGGGAGTGATGGTAGAAAGAAGGAAGGAGGTCACAAAGAGGAGGATGGAATAGGTATAGAAATGGCAGATCCTAGACAGGTGTATGGTAGATTAAACAGACTCTCCCCCCCACACACACACCTGTTACACCTGTCCCCCACCACCACCACCACCACCACACCTCCAGACACCTGTTATCATCCAAAACCATCTACACACTCTTATCACACCAGAACAAAAACATTACCTTCCTATACCTCACCTTCCCTACCTGGGCACCCTCACCCTCCCTCCCTCACCTTGCTCACTCAGCCCCTGCAGGTAGGTTTGCAAAGGCTGAGATTAATATTTAGTTGTGCTCTTTATATCTTGTTATTAATTATTTGGTACATTAACGTGTCTTTGTGGGAGATAACACAGTGGTTTGGTGATGGTATTTTCAGTTTGTTTATTTATTATCATTATATACATATCATCATATCAAGGTCTTTCGATGTTTTGCTTGTCATAGGCCGGGGGCGGGATTGGCAGCGTCTGGCAGCAGTCAATGGGGCGGCAGGAGTCAGCCTTCCAAATAACTTGTCAAACTGTCAAAGAACAATTTCACCGACACACCTCCATTAACTCCGGGTCGAGGCCCTGGACCGCTGCTGACTGGATCTGCTGTCTAGATAGCTGTACCTGCTGTGCTATACTCCACCTACCTCCACCGCCACCACTATCCTCCACCACCAC